GGGAGGAAGAGGAGAAAAGGAGGAGGAGGGGAGGAAGAGGAGAAAAGGAGGAGGAGGTGAAAAGGAGGAGAAGGAGGAGAAGAGGAGGAGGAGCAGAGGAGAAAAGGAGGAGGAGGAGAAAAGGATGAGCTTGGTTGTTTTCTTGCAGGCATTTCCTGACCCAACTAGGTAACATCATCAGTCCTAGAAGCCTTGTGTTAGAAGTCTTCTTAGCAGGGATGTGATTCCCTAGTTGGATCTTGAAAATTCTGCAAAACAACAACAACAACAACAACAACAACAACCACCAAGAGTACCAAAGACCTCACATGCCAAATTTAGTTAGCTTTGAGTTGGGCACAGTTGTGCCTGAACCCATTATGCAAACTCAGTTTGGTGACTTCATGCATTCTGTGACTCCAGAAAGCAACCCAATCCCCTAATTTGGGAAAAATATCTGAACTGCTGTATAAAGATTGTCTGTAGGCGCAGAGAGAGGGGGAGAGGGAGAGGGAGAGAAGGAGAAGAGGGAGAGAAGGAGAGAGGGAGGGAGAGGGAGAGACATCTCTGCAAACAAGTAAAGGCGTGTTGAATATGTGGGATTCTGCTGCCCTCTAGAGTCCAAACAAAGTAAACATCCACCCACCTGGGTACGTTGAAAAATTTGGGGAGTGCAAGGGAGAATAAACAGCTCAATTAATTATGTGCTGTAGATTAAATCAGGTTTTTTTCCCACCCTGTTTCAAACTGGAAGAGCAACCCAGGCCAAGTGGAAAGATTTAACTGTACAGAGTAGAGCAGAGATGGGGAGGGGGCAGAGATTTTAAGAATCCCCCCCTTCCGGCATCGTCTGAGAGTCTGTTAAGGGGAAATTGGGGAGGGGGAGGAGGAGGATGAATTGGTCTGATTGAGCCTGCAGAGGCCGCGTCTTCTGATGCAGCATCGCCATCGTGAGTTCAGAAGCTGGAAGTGGTGAAAAACTTGAACTTCCCAAGAATAAAACTGGAGATCTATTTAATTTTTTTTGGGCACTTGAGAATGGAAGGAGCCGTAAGGAGTAAAGCAGCAGATGGAATAACCAAATAGAAGTGTTCGGAGGGACCTTGGAGGTCATCTAGCCCAACCCCCTGCTCAAGCAGGAGTCCCTGAACCATTTCAGACAAATGGTTGTCCAATCACTTCTTCTTTTTTCCCCAATGTATTTTTATTATTTTTACATTTAAAACAATGCAGTACCGCAGAGTCAAAGTGACTATACATTATACACAATTAGTCTCAACCATTAACAATTAGCCTACTTAGTGCATTATCTATCCTTCTGTCCAATCACAATATATACAGTTTNTATGTATGTATGTATGTATGTATGTATGTATGTATGTATGTATGTATGTATGTATGTATGTATGTATGTATATGTATATGTATATATACGCGCACACCACATACACACAATATACTTAATTCCTCTATGTCTGAGCTTAGCATAGGGTACCAAGCTATAATAACCATTTCCTTTGCAGAGAGTCAAGCTGCAATAACTGGTTAACCAAAGGTAACCAAATAGGCAATAAACATCTCAATAAATCATACTAAATCCAAGTACCTAATTAAGAAACCCAGACTTATAATTAACCTGCTTTAGCATTGTAAAAAAGCATTAAAATGCACAGACATTATAAGCATTTTCTTCAATTTAGTATAGTATATATCCCTGAGGGTGAACCTATGGCATGCGTGCCACAGGTGGCACACGGAACCCTCTCTGCAGGCATGCAAGCCGTTGCCCCAGCTCAGCTCCACCACACATGTGCATGCATTTCCCGCCCGCCAGCTGCTTTTCTGGCCTCTGCTGTGTGTGTGTGCCCCGTTTTTGATCCCAGGACACTTGAGGAAGGCCTGCTAGGCCCAACATGGGGCTCGCAGAGGGGGGGGTTTGCATGTGCATGCATAGGGGTCACGCAGGGGGGTCATGCACACATTGCATTATAAGTGTGGGCACATGCGCACACACTGTCAAGCACGTGTGCATGCTTTTGGCACATGAGGTGCACGCTTTTGGCACATGAGGACAAAAAGATTAGCCATCACTGGTATATATGTTCCCATAACCCCAGTAACAGTGCAAGCCATCATCCACGGATGGCAACAAGAAGTTACTAACTTAACTAAGAGAAGAAAAGAGAAGAAAATATGTAGTTAATTTTTGATATTACTTCATCATAGGAAATGTTTTTTGAGTGTCTAAATAGATGCTGGGACGCCCTTCAAATTTAAGATGAACTTCAGTGTCATCATTTTCCTCATATATTAAAGCTACTGAACAAATCATCATAACAATACCAAGGTCTTGAAACCGGTCAAGTCAAACACATACAACTCTTCCCCACAGTCTAACTATAATTGAAAAGCAACTGTAGACTCAAAGGTATTCCCCACCCCCCAAAAAAGGCAACTGGACTTTGTTTATTTTTTTTCCCAAAACATTTCATCAGTTCTAAGTGACTGGTGCGGAATGGAAGGATTTATATCCTTTGCAATTATCTGGTATCTTTCCATTCCCCACTGGTCAGTTAGAACTGAAGAAGCTTCTTATGGTTTATGGTTTATGGTTTATTATTTATAGGCCGCCCTTTTCCCTGAGGGGACTCAGGGCGGCTTACAATTTATGGGGAGGGGAATACAAGACAGTAAGACATAAAACAATACATAGGTAAAAGTAGAACACAACATTCATTCATCATTCTTGAATGAGAAGCTAAATGTTTTCAAAGAAGAAGAAAAAAACAAAGTCAGTTGCCTTTTGGGATAACCGTGACTTGGATGACTGAGAATCTCCATAGACGTTGAGCTACCTGTAGTGTTGTCTATGGAGATTCTCAGTCATCCAAGTCACGGTTGTCCCAAAGGCACTTTTTTATGAGGCAACTGGACTTCCTGTTTTTTCTTTGAACACATTTCGCTTCTCATCCAAGAAGCTTCTTCATCTCATTCTCAGCTCAGAGCTGAAGAAACATCTTGGATGAGAAGCAAAACATCTTCAAAGAAAAACCAGAAAGTCCAAGTTGCCTCTTGAAAAAAGCACCTTTGAGACTATTTTAGTGTTGGGTTTTTTTGGTAATGCCTGTACTCCTCTTTCTCACCTCTCTCCAAAGTTCTGCCTCTCACAACCTTTTTTCCTATCTGCCTTCTCTGAACTCTGGACCTGAACCCCCTGTTTCATCCCCACATTGTATGACATGAGAATTCTTTGCTCTAAGCTCAGTAGAAGATAGCCTCTTCTTCTTATGCGTCCTCATTTCAGAACGCTAGTCTGGAACACTTAGATTAATAAATCTGTGTTATGACCTAGATCAGGAAGATAAACTTTCACATGGCATTAAGGTTAAAGAGAGCAGATATCTAGAACACTTATTTAGAACTGATTTTGACCTTTCTTTCTTTCCCCTTTAATTCCCCGATGACAATGGATGCTTCTATTTTTGCAGTCAGTTCATTTTCATTCTTTCCCATTGGAGATTAAGTAAGAGAAGTACACTGAAGATGGTGTTATCGTGATATGGTTCTTGTCATAAAATAATTTTTGAAAAGAAAAAAGAAAGAAAAAAGCCAAATGCTTTTACCAGCCCTGAGGGGAAGAGACTGATTAATAAGATGTAATGACAGATTATGAAGGCCATTTCACTGCTTATAGTTCTCCAAAATAAATCCAGGGGAAAAATGAGGGCTTCATATTAAAAGTTCTGCTTTATTTTAATAAAAAGAGGTATAGGGTGGGATTCTGAATTTGGGGAGAAAATCTATTTGTATAAACAAATGCACACATATTTCTAACCTTTCAACCTTTTTATATTTACTTTATAATTTTAGTTATATTCTGTGGTTTTCTGTAGTTTGATTAGTAGAAATGAAATCTAATTTATATTTGCGACGTGATAATATAATTCACTAAAAAAAAAGTATATACCAATAGCTAACATCTAACTTAAAATTGCAATGAAAAGCGAAAATACAACCTTCCCATAATTTGAATACAGGTGTTCCTTGGGTTATGACCGCTCTTTCCGTGACTGTTCAAATTTGTGATGGCACTGAATGGGGGTAGTTATGACCAGTCCTTGAGTTTTGGCTGTTGCAATGTCCCTACAATCACATGATCCAGGCACTCAGTGCTTGCCTTGCAATTATAATGACACAGCAAGTCACGGTCACATGACTATGATTTCCAACATTCACTGCAGTCAAAGGGAAAGAGAGGAAGAACTTGGAAATTGCAATCATGTGAGGTCCTTGCTTAATGACATGTGCAGTACTTGCCTAACAACAGCAATTGGGACTGCAGGAACTGTGATCACTAAGTGGCGCATTCATGTGATGTCATGCTTTACAATCATGTCCCTTAGCAATGGCAATTTTGATCTCAAGTGCTATCATAAGGACTACCTGTATCTTTGCAACCTCCATAATCAATATATTGTATGTACAGTGTATGTTTTGTATTTATTTACTGAAACTGTAATGAGAAGCAAGCAAGCAAAACCAAAATTATCAGATATAGAACAGAGACCCCTAATATGTTTTCCAACATCAAAATATTGTTCTTCTTAGTGATTAGCAAGCTACAGGACCCCCCCCCCTCCTACATATAAAAAGAAGCAAGGGGATGTAGCATATCTCAAGAAATCTCAACTTTTGAAACATCAGCTGCTACTTGTCCCAGCAAATGGTAAGCTTTGGGATTTTCATAGAATAACAGAGTTGGAAGGGACTTTGGAGGTCTTCTAGACCAACCCCTGCTCAAGCAGGAGACCCTTTGCCATTTCAGGCAAGTTTCTGTCCAGTCTCTTCTTAAAACCCTTCAGTGATAGAGCACCACAATTTCTGAAGGCAAGCCATTCCACTAGTTATTGTATTTTTTGCACTATAAGATGCTCCAGACCATACGATGCACCAAGCTTTTGGGGAAGAAAACAAGAAAAAATAATTTGCCTCCCAGCATTCACTGGTATTCATCTGGCTAGCGTCCTTGCAGCAAACAGCAAACAGCCTGGTCGGCTTCAGCACATTATTGCAGCCTGATTTAGCATGAGGAACTGATTGGCGCTTGGATCAGTGTCCCGGAATACTGCTGATCAGATGTTTCAAGCTGTGGGGATTGGCCCCGCATTTCACTGCCTTGGCGTGTCCCATTTTCAGCCTCCATGTATCCCATTTTTGGCCCGTTCCAGGAATCAGGGATTGCCGCCACTATCGCCACCGGTGATCGGCAGTGCAGATCAGCGGCGATCCCCATTACCTGGAACGGGCCAAAAATGGGGCACACGGAGGCTGAAAATGGCTGAAGGATGGGGGCTGGCGAGTGGGTGGGGCTTTGGCAACATTCACTCTATAAGATGCACAGACATTTCCACCCACTTTTTTTTGTGGGGGGGAGTGTGTCTTACAGACTGAAAAATACGGTAATTGTTTTCACTATTAGGAAATTTCTCCTTTGTTTCAGGTGACTTTTCTCTTTGCTTACTTTCCATCCATTGTTTCTTGTCTTGCCTTCTGGTGCTTTGAAAAACTGATTGTTTCCCCTCCTCTTTGTGGCAGTCTCTCAAATACTGAAACACTGCTATCATTCTTTCCCAATCCTTCTTTTCACTAGACTGCAACTAATTCTTGCAACTGTTTTTCATAAGTTCTAGTCTCCAGTCCGCTAATCATTCTTGTTGATCTTCTCTGCATTCTTTTCAGAATCTCAGCATCTTTTTTATATTGTGGTACCAAAATTGAATGCAATATTCCAAGTGTGGTCTTACTAAGGCTTTATAAGGCAGTATTAATACCTCACATGCTCTTTATTTCATCCCTCTATTAATGCAGTTTAGGATTGTGTTGGCAATCTAACAAGAAATTCTAACAAGAAATCTCTCCCCCTCTCCCTATCTTTGATAGGTTCCTTTATTTTGACAACACCAACTTGTTTGTGTTATGATGCTTAGTTCAGGATAATAAAATATCTCTCAGCGACTTTGGTACATTTTCAGTAAAATACCAGTAGAAACTCGAAATTGTTTGGGGCTCACCTCTTTAAGATATGAGAATCAGGGCCTTCTGGGTGCTTCCAATTTGCTCCTTTAACTGGTAGCCACCAAGGAGCAATTGCAACCTAAAACACAGGCAAAGAAAATATTGGTGTTTTTCTGAAGTGTCTACCCATCCAGCTAATTATATCTGGCAGCTGTCATTAGCAATAAGAAAACAGCAACAAGACACATATGACTCGGTGCTTTCAGTGATGGTCATTCCATGATCATCTGTTCATCTAAATTACATATTTGCCATATATCTAGTTTTTTGTCAGTAAGCAATTTAATCAAAACCAACTAAAATTACCACCAACCCCACTTCAAATTAATTATAGTTTCAATGTTATCGAAATAAGGAAAGTGTAACTACTTGCTTCTGAAAAAGCCAGTATCTGAACATAAATCTTTCATCTTTCATAGATGAAACGTAGCTTTCCAATTTAGAGTAAGTTATGAAATCAATTTCTTTATGCTATTGGATATCAGTGATTATATCTCTACAGGATGTCCTCGAGTTACAACCACAAGCTTAGCGAATGTTCAAAATTAAAAGGGCACTGAAAAAAATGACTTGCAACCAGTCCTCGCAAGGTATGACTGTTCCAGCATCCCCACAGTCATGTGATCAAAATTAGGGTGCTTGGCAAATGGTATGTGTTTAGAATGGTTGCAGTACTCCAAAGTCATGTGACAACCATCTGCAACCTTTCCAGCCAGCTTCCAACAAGCAAAGTCAATGGGGAAGCTGGATTTGCATAATGACCACATGATTCACATGCAGTGATTTGTTAACAACTGTGCCAAAAAAGATCACAAATTTGGATGTGGCTCATTTAACAATTATCTTGCTTAGCAATGGAAATTCTGGTCCAAATTGCAGTTGTAAGTCAATTTGTGGACTACCTGTATGTTATCTCACTAGTTTCTATTGTGCCCACTGTGGTTAATGAGCATGGATGTCGTGGACAAGTACCATTATCTAATAATCATTCATTTGGAATCACTCATTCCAAAACCAATAGTAGAGCAGCTGAAGAAAACTATGCTCAGCACCAATGTGCATAGGCATATGTTCTAACTATTGTACACCACCTTCAATTTCCTACAACAAGCTACAGTCATCCTTCTCTGTCTACATCAGGGGCCGGGGTTCTCCAGCCCATGGGGTGCTTAAATCTGGCCTGAGGGGCCACCCTGGAAACAGTAAACGACTGGCCTGTGGTGCCTCCCAACTGTTTTTGCTGGCAGAGGGTTTCAGGAGGTCATTGCAGCCGAAAACAGAGCTCAGGAGCCTATTTTCTCTAGCAGAGTGCCGGACCACCACAGGCACCCCTGACAGGAGTGACATCAAGCCCACCCTGTCCCCCCCTTCCCCCCCCCCCCCCCCGGTCAAACACAACCCTGATGCG